GGTGTATGTTGCATCTTTGTCATGACATTAGCCAAATGTCAGAAGACGTGGAAAAACAATGCGGAAGATATAAAGCATCTTTCTGAAGAAGGCGCGAATTGGCTTGCTAATGGGTTCACTTTTCTAATCGTTGAATGACTCGGAGAGGTTGACGAAAGCTCTGTGCCTCCCTAAGTAGCAAGACTGTTAAGCAAATCAAGCTTCAAGAAACGTGAACCAGGTAGAATGTAACTGTGTTGGAGACGTGTTGGAGCCTTTTTATAGCTATGCTTAACTAATTTCTAAAATTTGATTACATCTTCTTCACTTTTGTCTAAAAAATATTTATCATCACTCTGTTCAACTCCATGATTGATCCATGTCCCTTTTAATTTGAAATTTACTCAAGTACTTCTCCTCAAGAGAAGCATAGTGAACTAGTTTTTAATCATAAAAATCTACTCGGTCTTTCCAATAGATTAAGGATTTAGGATTTGACTTAATGTAAATTTATAAATGAATAATCATAACATTTGACTAGTGTAATGTCATGTTTGGTAGAGTTCAGTGTTATGAGATATACTTGCATGAACTAAGATCGAGCAAGAAAAGTCTGTTAACTGGGCAAGGATTTTTCAAATTCATAAAACGTTTATTCGCTTTGCGGGGGTGGGGGGGGGGTTGCCAATAGTGATTGAACGAAGAAAATGTAAACTTTCAACAGACTTGACAAAATATGATTGGCCAGACATGGGGCTGGTCGGTGAATGAAGTTAACCCTGTCATCCCGCAAAATTCAATAGTAATTACATAGACATGTTGTGACCATGAGGTGTATTGCACTTCTGTAAAGAGCAGATAAAATTCTGCCCAAACGATGTTGAAATATGTTATGATTACGTAATTCAATTAGTATTCTCGTTATCTCTGAATAAGTTAAATAGTGTGATAAATAAAATCGTATAGCCCAACGCCAAATTAAACGCTTTTATTAAATAGTTAATAAAAGATGAGAGTCAAGAAAAAAATTAACCCGTAATATTAAAAAACAGGAATATGCAATAGTGTTTGACAGCGGGCAGTAAAATGCAATAAGGACGCGCTTTTAGACAACTCAAACATTGACTTTCCACGTACTTCGTAAATGTGTGTGCAAAGGGGTAAAATGAAATACACTTGTATTGGTGTTTATCATAAACCCCGATGATGTTGTTGACAGATCGCTTACAAAGCTAGATAAACTCCAACTTGTCTCAAATACATAAGCACAAAATGAAATTTCAATTAGGAATAAGAATTGTTATGACCATAAAATAAATTAAGTCGCCTATAAATTTGTTGTTATCAAATGGCGGCAATATAGTACCATATCTTTCCAAATACATTTTAAAATATTAAGATAAATCGCAATTCGACTAGGTTTGTCAAAAGACTTAAAAGAAAATATTTTTACCATTTAGTTATCAGAATGATGCATCTAATGCCACACTAATGCTAATGACATATCAATACTTACTAGGGCCAATTAAATATTATTTTTTAATATATTTACATTTTTAACTTATTTCGATTGAAATAGAAATATATAAATAGTAAATTATTAAATTGTAAAGATCAGTTTTACTTTGAGACATTTATTTCCGAAGACTTAATTGGTTTTACTAAATAGGTTGCATTGCTTTCAAGGTACTTCTCCTTTCCGAACTAGTTTATCGAGCTTTCAGTCATAACTGTTCGTCACCATGAAGAGTACAGCTTGGGGTATACTCTGCGTTCTGGGCGGTTTCCTTTACCATCTTGCACTGGGATATTTCTACACAGTCGGTAAGTAGTTCTTCATAGTAAAATTTTGAAATCTAGGCAACATGAATCCATATATTGTCTCATATACGGGTATCAGGCCGAGTGAAGCAGCTTGGTTCTCCTCAACCTTGCTTGCTCTTCAGGCATCTTTTATGCCGATTGGTGCTATTCTCGCTTCGAAAATTGGTTATAAATTTGTGCTCATTATTGCAATGATTTTCAGCGCGTATGTTTCAATACCCTGAATTCGTTTAAATTGTGATTATCCTATAAACGAAATTTGTTTCTTGTTAGCGGTGGCATCTTACTCACACGCTTAACTGTTGACTATGGTCTTGGAGCTTATATTGCAACTTACTGCATTATGAACGGTATTGGCATGGGTATTCCCTACTCTCTCATCTTTTCAATCGCTCAATCGGTAGGTCGAATAGAAATTAATTAATAAGCCTTTTGTATTCTTTGTGACAGTGGTTCCCTAACAAACGAGCGACAGTTGTCGGAATCATTTCATCCGGTTTTGGCTTAGGAGCTCTTGTATTCACGCCAATTCAAATCGCTATCATTAACCCTAACAACCTAAGCCCAAATTCAACGTATAGTTTCATGATAATTTTTATTATAATCTTTTTGGATTTGTAAATTGAATTAAATTTTACTTTAGTGGCAGTTTCCCTGAATCTGTCAGAACTGCGATACCCAACGCTTTCTTGATCCTTGGTGGTTTGGTTTTCTCTTTGGAGCTGATTGGAACGATCTTGTTGAGAGAATACCCTGCTGTAAACGTCGATTTTTATTTTTATCTGTTTCAACGTAATTTCCATTTAATTTTCTTGTATTTTATTTAGGACAAGTCTGAAAGTGATTGTTCTTCTGCAAAGTAACGAATTTCCTGGAATACATAACGATTATGGCTTTGTTATTGAAATTTAATTATTTTTTTCATTTTAGAAACACAGATTCCACAGAAATGAAAATATTGGCTGGTGATGTTGAGCCTAAAAAGTTAGTTTTTAACCCGGTATTCCATTTCAAAATTGCTTAATTACTCAGCTTAAATATTGATTTTCTTTTAGACCAGTTGTGTGTACACCAAAGAGCTACACAGTTTATCAGGCTTTAAAATCAATCGATTTTTACTTGCTCTTTTTTATTGTCTTCAGTGATATTGTTCCCGTTACCCTTCTTACTTCCACTTTCAAGGTTAAGTCTAAATGCCCCTCCCTCACCCCAAAATTCGCTTCTAAAATGTGAGTTTTTATTCCAAATCTGTCTTTTCCCTTTCTAGCTTTACGGCATTCGAGGTGGTTTCGATGATCAATTTTTATCAGCTGTTGCAACAACTAGTGCAGCTTTCAACTGCATTGGACGTGTATTCTGGGGTCAAATGGTAGATCGATTCTCCTCAAAGGTCCGTTTGATTATTTTCATTATTATTAACTTAATATATTTAAGTTGATGTACTTTTATCGCCTACCACTGAAATGTCGCCGAGTAATTCAAATTAGATATTTGATGAAGTCATTGGGCCGCCAAATTTGCGGTTCCACGTCATTTAACCTCAAATCGTTTGTGACTTTGGCTAGTACGTGCATTGAAGTGAGTTTAAATGACTTCTTTCTCTATTTTAGTGCCCACTGATGTGTTTCCTTATTACATGGGCTACTCTATTTCTTACATTTCCATATGTAACGGCTGTTGGTGGTGTAGCTAGCAAAGCACTCTATGCAATTTGGGTATTTTTATTGTTCTCCTCGCTCTCCGCGAATTTTGTTGTCATTCCAGCTACATGTATTCGGGTTTTCGGTCCTGTTAACATGGCTACAATCTATGGTTTGATTTACTTTGCTACGGTACATTGTTTAATAGTTCATATTTCCCCTCTTATCATACTTTTCATTGTGTGTGTTTATCCTCCTTCCCTGTTTAGTGTCCTAGCGCTCTCATTACCGCTGGCATCTTCTCCCAATTTGATATCCAAGGCAAATGGATACCTGTTTACACGGCCTGTGGTTGCTTCTGTCTACTTTGTTAGTCCACGCTATTTATTTATATTTAAGTAGTTGTTTTATAAGCCTCGTGTACGAGTATACAAGTGTGAAACGTTATCACCGGCAGACAATTCTTTAAACCATAGAAACAGATAAAAATAGAACATTGATAAACTTTATCCCAATTGATGCTACTTATATCAACCGAATCACACGAACTCATGCATTTTATTCAATTTTCAGCCCTTGCAATGGCTCTATTCATTCGTGACAAGAGTGCTCATTGTGTTGGCTGCACAAATAATATTTGTGCAGCACTGTGCGATCCTCTTCGAAAGCACGCGGCTGAGGCGGAAGAGGCGTAGAGATGAGACGTTTATTCGATTCCATTTTTCCTTCGCCCTTACTCAATCTGTTTGTAGAAGCACCTCACCCTACCTCCTCCCCCTCCTAGCTGTCTATTTACTTAGACCGAATCCAGTTGTGTATTTGACTTTTCGCATTGTTATTATGTACTAAACCGAGTTTTGGAATGAGTTTTTATTTAACTTTTAAGCTTATTTATGATTGACAACAGATTTTCCTGTAGATCGATTTTAAATAAAACGGGCAACATACTTAAACTCTTGATTGCAAAATTGGAGAAATAGTTGACTTGTACATCTTCCCTCTCAGAGGTTTTTGACTTCGGAGGGGGGGGGGGGCAATGGTTAATGATAATAGCCTCTTCGAGTGTGTTGTAGCTATATTCTCGTAGACTCAAAAGATGTAAATGGTCGACCTACAGCTAGGATGGCGGATTTTGTTAAGGAAAAGAATTTGTGAGCATGGTTTGGCACCCAAGGCAAAAGATTTTTTTTCAAATGGCAGGCTTTACGATATTTATCATTAGCCCTTAATCTTTGACTTCAGCTTCCCCCAAGAGGGGGGGGGTACATTTATAGCAGTTAATTCATAGCAGTTCATTAGCTGTCTTCTTGCTTCCCAGTATCTTTGGCTTTCCGTCCTTGTCTTTAGGGCTGGACACCGAATCAGGTGGGTCTTCTCCATTTCCTCATGTAGGTTACATAAAGGGCATGTGGGTTGAGTGTATACTCCCAATCTGTGAAGGTGTTTTGCCAAGCAATCGTGTCCGGTACGTAGTCTAAACTCAGCAACGGCTTCGATTCTTGGCCAGTCGGGTATGTCGGAGAGTGCCACTGTCCACTGTTTCTCCTTTGTTCGAGCTTTGAGTTCGTTGCACCTTGAGGTATGGAATTCTCTCCTGATTAAGGCCTTCATTGTGTGGAAAGACATCGGTCGGTCCATGCATTGCAAAATCGTTGTCCCCTTCTTAGCAAGTGTGTCAGCAATCTCATTGCCTTTAATGCCACAGTGACCAGAAATCCATTGCAGGACCACTGTTTTGTTTTTCTCTTTCAGCAGCTCATACAGTTTTCTACATTCCTTTATCTCAGATGTTTTGGGTGTCTCTCTGTTTCCAATAGAGTC